TTGATTTGTCTCATTATTCTGTACATAAAAGTGTTACGGTAAGATTATCGAAAACTAAATATTTTACGAGATATTTTATTTTTTATATCAAAATATATCAGATTAAAATATAAAATAACACAAAACGTACTTAATGAAAAAATACTTTATTATAGTATTTTGAAAAGCTCTCGAGATAAGCTACAAGAATATGTAATAAAAGATATAGTATTCCATTAAAAAAATTAAATGTGACCTTCATGTGACCTTCAAATAACTCTTCAAGGTCAAACTAATAGTATTATCTTATGGTTCCCTCGAAACCATACAACTTTTGTCTAAAACATTTTTGTCTTAAACTTATGGATTTTAAGATATTTCAGTGGATACATTAAAATGGCCTACCCTTTATAACAGAGAATATATCATATTATTTATTATTTCAATTGAAATTGTGTGATTTGTTTTAATAAAATTCTCGAGTTATAAGTAATTAAGAATATAAGAATTCGAGAAAAAAAATAAAAGGCAAAAAATCCTTCTTCGTTTAATTTTATAGATTTTATTTTATCAAAATTATAATTTAATACTTAATTTCCAGAATATGACGCTAAAATCACGAATATGTCAGTTAATAAATTTTTACAATATTTTTGTTGAAAAAAGAGCTTAATTAAATTTGTCTCTGAAATTTGATGAAATAAATATATATAAATATATATACATATAAATATATATATATATATATATATACAGGGTATTCCAAAGCACCCAGACAACGCTCGCGAGCGGGTAGAGCATAGTAAACTGAACACAAAAGTCCTTTACCATTTTGTAATTTTGGCAATAATTACTGAAATATTAATTAAAAAGGACTGTACCCCGATTTTCGTTGCCATGAGACACTGCGAAGCTCGTCTAGAGCGTACGTCCCAGTAAAATTATATATAAGAAGGTTAAGTCGTTATATGTAATGTATGTATTTACTTGCGCAACCCATGATGCATTGCAAAAGACCGCGAGAGCCAATAACAATACCCAGGTAGCAAGGTGTCGTCATTATAACGTCATTTTAAGGTCATTTCTCGTCATATGACGTCAGTCGACTAAATAATGACGTAACACAGACGTGATATTTTTGACGACATATTATCGTCACAGAAATAACGTCATTTAATCGTCTTTTTAAGATTATTTACTGATCAATTAACTAATATTGTTAAAATACGTCAATATTAAAATTATCATATTTATATAAGGAAAATAATAAATATTTTATGATACTTATAAAGTTTACATGACTTTTAAAAGTCTGAATAAATGTCCGAAAAAGTTAAAATCATCCGTATATATATAAAATCATATTTATTACATTTGTAATTCCATTAATATATTCCATAATAATTCTATGTTTATTATTCTATTTGATAAAGAGTTAAAAATCCAATGAATTTGTACAATTGAAAGAACGGTTAATTTTGAGAAGTAGCCTAAGTTTACCAATTTTATACGTCATCTTATATTAGAGAAATGTCGTCATTTTATCGTCATAGATATGACGTCAACGGTCTGTGACTTAGGACCGTCATTCTAACGTCACTTTTACGTCGTTTCAAAGGCGAATTTGACGTAACCAGTGACTAAAAAATGACGTTATAATGACGACACCTTGCTACCTGGGTAGTTTACCTTATTTAGCATCTCTTTTCAATAGCGACTATAAGTTATGGGTTGCGAAAGGCTCATGATTTAACCTTCTTTTATATAACCTCACGTCCCACGGTCTAGCCGCGCGAAACGCGCGCTCATTCGCCAATTCTTTTTAATTAATATTTCAATAATTATTGCGAAAATTGCAAAATGGTAAAACACTTTTCTGTTCAGTTTACTGTGCTCTATCCGCTCACGAGCATTGTCTAGAGTGCTTTAGGGCACCTTGTATATACATATATAGGATGTCCGATAATTTTTGACACACCCGAAATGTGAAGCTATATTGGCTCAAACTGAGAAGGAAAGTTCTATACCGTTTTGCAAAATTTGCAATAGTTGTTGAGTTATTAATTAAACCGTCTGAGCGAAGAAGTGCGTAGACCGGATTCGATAGGCATGTAAAATGGCTTATTGTTTATGTCTCTTAGCATTTAATTTAAGTCTCTTAACGTTTAATTTATGACACGATACAGGAAAATTCAGATATTGAACTGATTTTTAGAAAATCAGACAGCTAGATATCCGATCGGACATAAAGTGTCCAAATAAGTGAAAGTCATTCATTATTGTCTACTTAAGATAAAATTAGAAGTTAACTTCCGTATAAATAAAATCTTTAATTTCATGAATTAAATTATTTAGATTTATCTGTATGTATTACACATTAATGTGTTATTATATATTAACACTGCAATTGTTCTTATTTTTGACGTCAAAAAATATCAGAAAATGAGATGTTAATAAACGTCTAAAAGAGGTCACCATGATATCTATCTAGATGCAAAACTATCGACCTATCTTAGACGTGTCGAATAGACGTCGACTATACTATACTATACTATCGACTTCACGTTTCTCTCTGGGTACACATTGCGTTAACATTTACTTAGAGGTTTATTAGATGTCTATTAGATGTCGAGAAGTGATTTGCAGCCCAAAGAGTGTTTCATAAACAATGCACTGCTATTGTGTGAATATTAAGTTTTAATTGTGTCTAAAAAAATTTAATGACGAGATTACATGGCATCTAATTCAGATATTTCTAGATGTTGTTTTAGACTAGATAGTTCCGACATCTAATAGACGTATATCCGATCTCGCGTTTCTCCTTGGGTAGCCACTATTAGTTGAAAATTTGTTAGCATTTAAAAAGTGAGATGAGGTTATGTCATTCTTGGATAATTTCTCTAATGACTGTCTAGTGATTGAGTGAGTCCCGTTTGCGCACATTACCGATCAGACACGACAATATTTCCCGATCGGACACAGTCCTGATCGGACACAATCCTGATCGGACACAGTTCCGATCGGACACAGGCTCGATCGGACACAGACCCAATTGGACACAGTCCCAATTGGATACATGCTCGATCGGACACAGACCCAATCGGACACAGTTCCGATCGGACACATATGGTTGCAATCGGACACCATCCCGATCGGACACAGGCCTGATCGGACACAGACTCGATTGGACACAGACGCTATCGGATACAGTCCCGAACGAACATAAACCGTTGGAAATATTTAGTTTCAGTGGAATACATATTAGGTTAAACTTTGGGTAATTGCGCCCGGTTTTAGCAAAGAAATCGATTTCATTAGTTTAATTAAAAACGGGGTAATTATTTGGAATAAGGCCTTTCGTGAATTTTAACAAATATGATCGGATCTCTCAGTAAAACTCTTTGTTGTAACTCCAACAGTGATAAACAGTCGGGGAAGCCCGTCCCCCATCATCCCCACCCCCAAAAAAACCGAAAACCCCCAAAATTACCAAAACAAAGCGAGGTCCATCCCGCAATTGTTGTGTGGATGGGAAAGTGTATGCGTGGACGCAGTGGGTTCCGCCCCTCTTACGGGGGGGGGGGGGCTTCACTTCCGGAAGATATAACCTAACCCAAACCTATTTCTGATTTAAAATTAAAATTTGGTTTGGGTTAGATTATATCTTCCGGAAGTGAAGCTCCCCCGTAGGGGGAGCGGAACACACTGCGTCCACGTATACACTTTCCCATCCACACAACAATTGTGGGGCGGACCTTGCTTTGCTTTGTAAAGTATGTGCTGACCGAGAGATCCGATCATATTTGTCAAAATTCAGAAAAGGCTTTATTCCAAATAATTATCCTGAAACTAAATATTTTCAACAAGGTTTATGTTCGATCGGGACTGTATCCGATAGCGTCTGTGTCTAACCGAGTCTGTGTCCGATCGAGTCTGTGTCCGATCGGGCCTGTATCCGATCAGGATGGTGTCCAATCGGGATGATGTCCGATTGCAACCATATGTGTCCGATCGGAACTATGTCCGATTGGGTCCGATCGAGCCTGTGCCCGATAAGACATATGTCCGATCGGGTCTGTGTCCGATCGGAAAATATTGTCGTGTCCGATCGGTAATGTGCGCAATCAGGACGATCCCCTAGTGATTATCTAGCCATTAAGCATTATAAATGGCGTTCAAAAATATCTAATGCTCACTCATTCTTGAATGCTGTCATTCTTGAATAGTTTTTTCATGTTTTTTCATGTTAGTTTCATCATTCTATTATATTGAAAATGTGATTTTAAGAATTATTATACTATATGATTCATATTGATCAATTAATAGGATAGCTAACTTTTATGTGTTCGTAGTAACATAACAGCCGAATAAACTTTTAAATGTATTTTTAATTTAAAATTTTAAAGTATTAAATATTATTTAGTAATACGAAAAAATTTTTAACTTCATATTTTATATTATATTATAACATATAAGGAGAATTTAAAACTTTCTTAT